AGGAAGGATTCTTCCTCTTCATCCTCATTCCCCTCTGTTCTGCCCCGCAGGGGCCAGGACCGGGTAGAGGGGTCACTGAGAGAACAGAAGATTCAGGCAGTAAGATTCTGAGCCTAGGCTGCCATGTTTCCATCCCCTGCCTCAGAAATCTTGGGATGCGCATGGAGGGTTCCCTCCCACTCACCCAACTGCTGTCCCAGATGGGTCAGGGGTCACTGGAGGAGGGCAGCACACATACTCCACACCTCGGAATCGATCTGTACCACAGGGTAAAAGCATGCCCGAGCCATGAAGGATGAGGCCTTGGGAGCTGCAAGCCTGTAACAAGAGTGGGCCCAGATGCCAGGATTGTAGAGTAGGAGGGTGTAGAGGGGAGCTTTGAGAGCTGGTCTTGGGGGATGAGGAGGCTGGAAGCCTGGATTCCTGGCTCTAGAGAAAGGGATTGGGGGATAGAAGTCCTAGATCCCAGTGGGAAGAGGGAGCTATAGGCCTGGACTCCTGGGTTTGAGGGATGGGGAAGGGTGGGCCATGGTCCTGACCTCTTGTGCCTCCTGGTGCCTCCGGGTGGAACTCTCACACTGGTCCATGCGTTCCTGGTGTAAGAACCGACAACCTTCTGGCACCAGTAGAGCCTCACTCACAAACTCACCAGCTGAGGAAAGGGGGACACCAGACTAAGGCTCTCCTACAGCTACCAGCCTCATGCTCTGCAGAATCCAGATATTTTATCCTCCAGCTTCTCTGCCCCACACTCAGTTCAGATGCCCAGCCCTCTAATGTGGGTCTGAGACAGGGGCTCAGAACCTCCTTTCTGGGAGACTCCCACCTCATTTCCCTTCTCCCAGCCTGTGACTCACGCAGGCAGCGGAAAGGCACAACCTGGTGGTGAGGGTGGGCACAATGGCCACCCCGGGCACCCTCGCACCAGCGCTCCATTGGGATAGCCTGTGCAGCCTGCTCCACACGTGCGATGTGCAGCTCCGGATACATCTGAGGGCACCAGGAAAGGGCAGTCAACCCACGGCCCCACCTTGCCAGCCGCCCATCTCCTTTTCAAGGGTCTAGTATTCATACGGACATTTCCTCCCCAGTCCCTGCTTCTCCATAGAAGCAGCCTTAGATGCCAAGTCCTTCCTGCCCATTGGTCAAATCCCCTAGTGCTCTCCCTTTAAAATCTGGCCATCTTTAGGTGCTCTTTTCCTGCCCAGTTTCTTTATGGAGATCCTTCCATCTAACCCATCAGCTTAACCTCTCTAAGTCCCTTACTCTGGTTACTCCTCCCCTCCCATCAGGTCCCTCTCTCAGTAGATCTTACAGGTTTTCTTTATATTCAGCCCTCCTTTTTATAACCACGCCTCCTAGCTATCTATTCTCCCATTGAGTTCCATCGTTCCTCCCCATCTTGCTGGTCCCTAGGTTTCTTTTACTTCTTTGCCACGCCCCTTCCTTGGCCTCTCCCACCTACAGCTGTACTCTTGACAAAATCCACCACGTATCTCTAAACTTTGCCTCTTCATTGGGTATCTTCCTTAGCTGGCATTCTTGCGTGGTTCTCAACTCTCCTTAGTTTCTCAAAACAGGTCTTACCCTAAGCTAGCCTTGCTTCTTCGTAGGGCACGCCCCCTAGCTTCCCTTCTTATTAAATCCCACAAGTCCTTGGATCCCGCCTTTTGCAAGTCGAGCTTCTTAGCCTGGACCTCGCCCCCTCTGGAACCGGCTTTCCCGCTGACCACGCCCCTCTCCTTGGTCCCGCCCACCTGTCTGCAGTACTCCAGCACGCGCTGCGGGTCCCGGAGACAGCGTCGTGAGCGCTGTGGGTCTGGCTCCCAGCGGCCGGTGCGCAGGTCCCGGTGAAGGGTTAGGCGCCCGCATAGTCCGGCCACTTGTGCTGATCCCGGAGCCTGGGAGTGGAGGTGGAGGAGACAGTGAGAGCCTCGGGGAAGCTGACATACGGGGTCTTTTGCTTCCTAAGACCCAGATATTCATATCCCCAGCACCAGCCCTCCCCCCAAGCACTGCACACCGGCCTCAGTGGAGGCACCGTTCCCTGGGAAACAGCTCCTGAAGGGCGGGAGTGCCCCAGCTCTACCCGTTGCTATGGAGACCCAGGTCCCCCGGGTTTCTCGCGGCCTTGTTGCTGCGGAGACAGGCTCCGCCCCCACCCCAGCGCGGCAGAGACGGAGTCGGAAAGGGTTAAACCTGAATCGTGGGGGAGGAGGCCAGAACCCAGGCGTTCTGGCCCCTCCTCCCTCCATCCCTAGTTCAGGCTCCTATTGCGGGGGTGCGAAGACTAAAAGGCCTGGCTTCTCAGCGGGCCTGGACACCAGGTCCTTGGGATTGGAGAGCTGCATTCTGTTTGGGGGGCGGGTAATGACTGGAGGCCTGGACTCCTGGCTCCTGCGAGCCTGTGGGCGCCCTCATGGGACCAGAGGATGCAAGGAGCCCGGATTCTTAGATTCAAGTGCCCTGCTGCCTGGTGGATCCTATGTTCAGGAGGCAAGGGGTTGGGGCCAAGTCGTCCAGGCTGAGAAGGTGTGGAGGAGTGGGCTGGACTTTTGGGTCCAGGGGCTCTGGAAAAGCCAGTTCCTATGCTGCGGGTGGGAGTGGGCTAGGACGTCAGATGATGGGGTAGCTGGGGCCTGGAATCCTGGGTTCATGAATACCTAGTGCTGTTAGGAGCTCCTGGGAGAGGGCTACCTGGCTGCAAAGACTGCGCTTTCTGCCCTGGACAGTCCGCATCGGAGTACCGAGGCCCGGTCCCACCCCTTCCCCCATCCCCCAGGACCCGGCCCGGCCTCACCTCGGCCGCGCCGGGGCTCCCACCGGCCAGGCTCCCGATGGCGAGCTGCGCGCGCAGGAGCAGCAGCGATAGTGGCAGCAACAGCGGCAGCGGCTGCGGGCCCCGGCGGCGGCCCAGACCGCAAGCGGCGGGGCTGGCCGGCCCCATGTCCCGGCCCTCGCGCCCTCACGTCCCCTGCACACCGCCCGGCCCGGCCCGGCCCCAGCGGTGACAGGAGCTCCCAGCTCCACCGCCGCCGCCTCCTCCTCCCGCTGCCCCCGGGCTGCGCCGGCGCCGCCAGCCCCGCCCCGCGCCGGCCCCGCCTTCCCAGCCAGGACAATAGCGTGGCAGCTCTGCGCAGAGTGGAGCGGCTCCGGAACCCCGAGTGGGAGCCAGCTCCAGGCCCCCGCCCCTTGAGATTCCAGGCGACCTACCCACTCCTGCAAAAACCCAGCCAGGAGTCTGGTTCATGGGCTGTGCGGTTTGGGATTTTGAGTCCTCCTTCAGGGCTGTCATGCACAGCCCTCTCCTTCACCAGATCCAGACACCCATAATCGGCTTTGTCCTCCGCCAGGGATGCCAGCATGGGGAACCCCCCTCCCAATAAATTCCTCTCTGGAGGTCACAAGAATTCAGTCTCCCAAATTTCCTCAATCAAGAACACAGCGATTGAGATCCATTCCCGTCCTTTCAGAGGAAGCCCCAGGCCCCTTTTCCCTCAGAAACAGAGGCAACCCCCCCCCCCACCCTTTCTTCCTCAGACCCAGAAGTTCAGTCTCCCTATCCTGCCTCTTAAGTCCCTGGTGTCAGGACCTTTAACTTCTAGCTCAAGAATCCATGAACCAAAGCTTCCAGGCCCTTTCTAAGGATGACCTAAGTCAGGCACCCATCAAAGATCCAGCATCTCAGGACAAAGGTCTGGCCCCCTATCCTCACTCTAAGGACCAAGGGATTTCCATTTTCCCATCCCTAGTCTTCTCCCCTTCAGTGCTCACTGCTTTGTCTCCACAATTGACAGCTTAGAATTCTATTTTCCCTGGCTAACTGGGGCAGCTGTGTCACAAGTGTGCATCAATATGGACTTTTATGTGTGTGTCCTGTGGTTACATGGGTATCTATGTTTCTGTTTGCAGCTCTGTGTGTGCATGTGTATATATATATTTGTGTAGTTGTATATTTAAAACATCTAGAGTGTTAAACAGGTAGCAAGGGACTGAGAGGTGGCTCAGAGTTTTGGCTCCTACAGTCACCTCACAGGCTAGGGTAGAGGAAGACCCTTAGAACACATTTGATAGACCTCTTCCTTGAAGAAGAAAAGTAATAATACCAGGAAAATCTTCCAGACATGCTTGCCTGTTTGGCTTTCTTTTTTTTTTTAATAAACATAAATATTCTTATCCCCAGAGTCTCCTTCATCCCCACAATGATAGTTCTCACCCTATCCCCACTGTTTGAGTTCAGCTCTTTCTGAGTCTTTAAGGAAGGTGGAAGGAATCAAGATGGCTGCACTTCTATTGGCTAAATAAAGTGCTTTCAGGGAAAGCCAGGACACAGTGAGAGTGTCTTTTTTCCCCCCTTGGTGGTGATACTGGGGATTGAACCCAGGAGCACTTTTCCATTTAGTTACATTAGCAGTCTTTTTTATTTTGACAAAGGGGCCTTGCTAAGCTTCAGAGGTGGTTGGAATTACAAGCATGTGCCACCATGCCTGGATTATGTCTTCCATCTTGATCTGCCCTATACTATCTTTCTTCTCAATGCAAGTCGTCATCTTGAAATATATTTCCTCAGTAACTAGAAATGACTTCCATTCCTGCCCCTAACTTTTATCACCCTCTGTCCTCAACCTCTGCAAAGGGTTGCATCTTGAATATCTTTGTGTGTGTATGTGTGTGTGTGTGTGTGTGTGTGTTACTGGGGATTGAACCCAGGGCCTCTTTCAGACTAGGCAAGTTCTCGACCACTGACCTACATTCCTAAACCCTTGAATGCCTTTTACACCGCAGAATAGGTGGGCACAATGGCCATATTGCTTCCACTTGGGGCATTTGCTTTGGCTGAGTTCACTATGTATAAATGATCCTGATAATTGTAATGATCCTTCCCCCCACTTGATATTCAACTTTGGAGGAATAAGGCTGTCATCCTGTTCTGGTCCCTCAGAAATCTGAACAACCCATTATGGCAAGTTGAAAATCCCAGGACTCTTCAGTTGGAGATGTCACACATGAGTCTGGAGACGTGGGTGGCTTGGCATGGGGAAGGCAGCATACGGGAAGGGGGGAGTCCCGGACGCCAGCTCTGGGGGTCCAAAGGGTGTGGGTTTGATGTAGTTGGTGAAAGCTCGGGGATGAGGTGTGGTGAGATAACCTGCCCGGGCTCTGTACAGTCTGCAGGGGGGAACCATGTCCAGGTGTGGGTTGAAGTCATAGAAGGTAGGGGTCCCTGGAAGTCCAAGGGGGGAGGAGGGTGGCAGGAAGAGGCCTCCTCCTGGAGCTTCACCAAGGCTCAGGCTCACACTGACCCCTCGCACCTTGTAGTAACCGTTGGTTGGGTCCTGAGGGGACAAGTGGGACTTGGATTGGTAACACATATAAAAGTACAGGGAAGTGAGGATCAAGGATGGACAGACAGACTGAGATAGATTCCAGACCTACAGAGACGTGAAAAGACAGAAGCAGGAGCAGGAAAAGACCCAGAGACAGAGAGACAGACATAAAAACTGGCAGAGAGACAAAGCGAGACACAAAAATAGCCACAAAGACAAAGGGACAGGAGACCAGCAGAGAAAGATAGAGACAGGGACAAAAAAGAATGAGACAGAGACAGAGGAACAGGCCTACTGAGGGGAGGGTGGTGGTGCAGAGGAGGGGGCAGAGGGAAGGACAGCCATTCATTCATCTGCCTAATAGCCCCTGGGCTTTGATTTTATATCATGCCCTGGGCCACTCTGGAGACATGTCCAGAGGAGGCCTGGACCTGGTCTTCATGGAGATTTCAGGCCAAGAGGGAATGACAAACCCCCAGATAGAGCAGAGCCCAGAGAGGTCAGAGATGTGACTAGGAAAAGAACAGGCAGTGACTGGGGCTGACAGGGGACCCTTTGGCAAAGTGATCATGCTGTGACAGGAAAGCCCAGGACAAAGTGGTTATGGCTGTGATGGAAAAATTGCAGGCAGAATAACCGGGCTGTGATGAGAAAAGCATGAGCTTCCTAGAATAGGCAAAATCTGGGCTGAGACTGGAGGAATAAAGGAGGGAATTAGATGGATGTAGGAAGGTGGAGGGTTTCAGGCTAAGTGCAGAGGAAAACGATGGGGAGGGTGGGGACTGGGGCTGGAACCAACAGGGCTGTCCTGAGGTGGGATCCCAAAGGTGGGATAGGTTTGGGGAGATGCGAAGCTAGTATGGGACCTAGTGGGTGGAAGGGGCCTGGGAAGACCATGGATAACCAAGGAGAGACATCCAGAAGGCCTGAAACATGACTGTGATGGGGGAAAGGATGTCTGGTCAGGACTCAAGCTGGAGACTAAGGCTGGGGCAGATAAGTGGAATCAACAAATAGTGCAAATTAGAGCTGCACAAGTGATAGATCCCAGGTCTAGAGGAGACAGAATGAAAATGGAGGAGACAGAAGCAGGGAAAGAGTTATAGACACAGTGAAGAAGCCCCCCACCCCGCACCCTCCCGTTCCTCACCTTGGTGTCCAGCGCCCCTTCCTCATCCAGAACTAGGTCACTATGGTCTGTGTGCACAATGGGGCCCTGGGGTATGGAAAATAGTGAGAGGGAGTGGTTAGAGGAGCCTCCTGACCCAATTCCAGATCCCAAAGACCTTCAGCCAGCCAGTGGAGCTTGGGAACAGGAATCTGGACTCAGGACAAGAGGCCAGGGGATATATTGGGCCTAGGAAATGATACGGTCAGGGGCATATGTGGACTGCGGGTGCATTTGGGTCTAGGATCACTGTTAGGACTGGGGCAGTATTTTTTTTTTAAAGAGAGAAGGGGGGGGGAGAATTTTTTTAATATTTATTTTTTAGTTTTCGGCGGACACAACATCCTTGTTTGTATGTGGTGCTGAGGATCGAACCCGGGCCGCACGCATGCCAGGCGAGCGCGCTACCGCTTGAGCCACATCCCCAGCCCCTGGGGCAGTATTTGAGTTTGTGGGTTGGACTAGGTTATTATTGAGGTCTGGAAGCACAGTCAGGTCTGGGACCCTTTCATCTTACCTGTACCTCACCGCTGCCTGTCTCCTCCTCTGGGCCCCTTGAACTGGAGCCATCACTGCTTCCTGGGATTCGCACCAAGTTCTTTTGCTTGGAGAAAGAGGCTGCAGCCCCAACAGTGGGAGGCTGAGGTGAGTGATGGGCAGAATCACAGTTTGTGGGGATCAATATGCCATAACAGAGTGGACTGGGGTAGATTGGGTGGGGAGTCTGGGAGCCCATAATAACCTTGTCTTGGAAGTGGGTGGTGACACTGAGGACAATGTGAAAAGCTGAGGAGAACCAAACTGTGCAGGGGTAAGTCCCAGGGCCAGCAGTCAGTGGGCAGGGAATGTGTGGGGCTGGGGGCTTGGGGACTGGAGACTGGATCAGGCACTCACCCTTGCTGTGGCGCCAGCAGCAGAGGGCCACCCCAGTAATGACAATAAGGATGGTTGTGGCTGTAGCAGCTACCCCAGCCACCAACTGCACAGTAGGCAGCAAGTCTGCAGGGAGGAGAAGGGGCATGCTGACAAAAGACTGAAGAACAACAGGGAAACTGGGGCTCAAGGCTCAGGCTTGAGATCTCTGGGTTCAAAAGTCCATTGAGTCTGGGAATATCCAAGGTGGTTTTTTTTTTGTTTTGTTTTTTGTTTTTTGGGGTTTTTTTTGGGCACTGGGGATTGAACCCAGGGGCACTTACCACTGAGCCACATCCCCAGCCATTTTTTTTTTTTTTTGCATTTTATTTAGAGACAGGGTCTTACTGAGTTGCTTAGGGTCTCACTAAGTTACTGAGGTTGGCTTTGAACTTGTGATCCTCCTGCCTCAGTCTCCCAAGCTGTTGGGATTACAGGGTGCACTTAGTTTTGGACTTATGAACTCATGAATCTGAGGTTTGAAAGGTCTCAGAGTGTGTGAGTTTAAACTCCTGGGCTTTAGAGAGTCAGAGTTTGAGGAATCTTTTATTTTACAATTTCCTACATTTGTGGGCTCCTTTTTTTTGGAGTTCTTAAGTACAAGGAGTATTTTGGTTTAGGTTCTGTACTTGAGGGAATTTATTGTTTGGGGGTCTTAGGATTCAAGGAACCCATAGTTTTGAGGTCCCCAATGTTTCGTGCTCTCTACATTTGGTGATCTTATTCTTTGGCGGCTCTACTCTGGGAATCCTGGCATTCCTGGGGATTGAAATCCCCAGATTTGGGGGTCTTTGAGCCAGTGTCTCACCTCTACGACCCAGGCGGATCCGGGTGCCTCCCTCACCCAGTCGGTTTCGGGCACTGCAGTTGAAGCCACTGCTGAAGTCGGACTCCTGGGTCCCGGAAATGTGCAGCACAGAGATCAAGCCTGGACCTTGTCCCCGGTAGCTCTCTGGGGCTGGGAAGGTCTCCACCAGGAACCTGCCTCTTGACCCTGCCTCTAAGAAGCCTTCATCCCAAGACCAAACCTGGGGACACAAAGTAATGAGAGAGATCACTGAAGAGACTGGGGAGGGAGGGAAGAAGTGGGTGGGATGCTGGGAAAGTCAGAAAAAGTCACAGCAGCTTCAGGGGTGTGGCTGGGCAGGTCAAGGTAGGAGAACTCTTCCTTACCACAGCTTCTGGGGCTGGAGAGGAAAACACTAGACACTGGAGGCGAGCAGGGCCCCTGAGGAAGGCGGGTGCAGAGTGCAGGGCCATCACTACCGGGGGAGCTGGAATGCAGATTGTGGACCACTCAGGAGAGGTCTCGCCCTCCCCAGAGCCGATTCTGAATCAAGGAAGACCAGGCCTGAGCACTCCCAGCTAACCCCAACCAGGCAGTCCACACCCCTCAACCTACTCTCAAAAGTCTCCCTTTCAACAGAATGGCCTGCAATCCCCACGCCCCCATCTACAAAACTTTCAAGGTCATGCCCACTCCCTTTAGACCTCACCCCCTTTGACCACTTCCTATCCCATGACCCTCCCGATCTCTAGAAAGTCCCTCTTGCTCACCATTCACGGTCAGCCTAGCCTCGGCTGTGCCGCCCCCCAGGCCCAACAGCCCCGGCTCAGCCCGGCACAGATAGTCGCCTGCATCCTCGGGTCCAACCGACTGAAGACGCAGCGTGGGCCCAGAGCTCAGCACCTGGGACAGTGAAAGGGCATCAGGGGTGGGACTTTGCGAGGAAGCCCGGCCCATGCCAACTACAGGCTCCCTATCGAACTTCACCTGCGCTCCCCCGCGGCGGGTCCAGGTTACCCGTGGGAGGGGGTTCCCGCGCCAGGCACAGCTGAAGGAGGCGTCCTCCCCCACGTCCACGGACATGGGTTCTGGCTTTGCCTTCAGAATCGGCCCAACTGGAGGAGGAAGAGAAGGGGGTCACATGGCTGGGGCAGGATAAGCCCCTGGTTTGGGATCAGCCTCTCGGAAACGCATATTCAAGGGCCTAAGTACACCCACAAATTGTCCACGTTTTACACGCCCCTGCCCCACTTTGGCACTAACCCAGCCCAATCCTGCCTATATGCTCTTTTTAGCCCCAGGCCTTCCCACCGCGCGCTACAGCCACTAGCCGCTTTGGCCACACCCACGGCCCCGCCCCTGCTCACACAGCACGTCCAGCGCGGTGCTGCGGTTGGCGCTTCCCACGGCGTTGCTGACCTCGCAGGACACTGGCTCGGTCAGGAATGAGGCGTCGGCCACCACCTCCAACCTTGGTCCTCGGGCCCCAAGCACCGGAGAACCTCCCTTTGCCCACCTGCAGAGATGATGGTATTGTTAATGTCTCAGCCCTCCCCAAACGGTGCTCTGGCTGGAGAGAGGTAGTCTTCCTACTCACCTGTAGCCGGTGACAGGAGGTTGGGCTGTAGCCTGACACAGGAAAGTGACCTTCTCTCCCTCCTGCACAGTCTGTGGCTCAGCAGACAGAGTCACCACTGGGGGGTCTATAAGGATGGGACAATGGTCAGAGTGGGCAAAGACCTGGAACACCTTCATTGCTGACCTAGGTAGGAGTCCAGTCCCCAGACCCTCTAACCCACTAAGCTGAATCTGTACTTCCCTCCTTTCTTTGAGCCAGCAGTCTGGGCTTCCAGTTCCCAACTCTCCAATGAGCTGTTTTTCTGTCCTCTCCTGCTATATCAGATCCAGGAATCCAGGTCCCACCCCTCTTCCCCAGGGCCAACTGAACTCACACTGCAGGCTCAGTGTGATAGCTGTATCTCTCCCTGTAGGCAAGGCCTGGCTCCTGGCTCGGCAGACTAAGGTGGCTCCATCATCATGGCTGGAAGGGGTCAAGAATAAGGTGCTCTCCACTGACCCAGTGGTTCCTTCCTTCAGCAGGTTCTAGAGGTTATGGATAATAATGATGATTTCGTCTATCCCTTATATAAATGGTAGTGCTTACTATGTGTCAGGCACACTCCTAGGCATTTACAGGTATTATTTTATTCAATCCTCATAATTATCCTATAAGGTACATACTATTAATCCCATTGTACAGATAAAGAAACTGAGGGTCAGAGAGGTTAAATAACATACTCAATATCAATCAGTTAGCAAGTGACTGAGTCAGGATCTGAATCCAGGTGTTCTGGCCTTAGAGTTCTTATCTTGAATCACATTCCAAGGGTCCTAACCTTTGAATTCTTGCCCTCCCCTGCCCTGTACTCTGGGTGAATGATCAAAGTGGACCCTAAGTTTCACTGAATAGGCAAGGACCAGCAAAAGGATTTGGATCTGACCTGGTGGAAGGTGGTCCCCTCCAACCGGACACCATCTCGAAACCATAGCAGCTCAGGGATGGGGCGGGCATCTCCATGGCTCTGACAGGTCAGATTTGCAGGAACTCCAACAACCAGAGACACAGAGGGGCCGCCCAGCACCTGGGGGGCTTCTGGGGGCACTGTATGGTAGATCTTAGATCAGAAGTGGATCCTGGGCCAAGAGACCCTCATCTTCTCAGCTCCAACCAACCACTTTCCTGGTCTTTCTGAATTCCAATACTCCTAGCTAGTACTGGCTGCAACCCTCGCCCCCAGCTCTTAAGGACAAGCGGGCTGGATCCTCACCCAGTACGTGCAGTTGGGCTGGTCGTGATCGAAGACCTGCTTGTGTAGCCTGACATTCATACGATGCTTCATCCTCTAGCTCCACTGGCCTAATGTGGAGGTCATGTTGGCCACTGGCTGCATTCCCAGATATCCAGTACCGAGACCACCCTGAAGTCAGGGAAAAGGCAGTCACACCATGGTTTGAGCTCTTGACCTCTGGTCTTCATCCCCAAACATACCACACCAAAAAATGGCCCACACATTCCATGGTTAGACACTTAAAAAGTATGCAGTAGACCCAGAGAAATAAACCCCATTCCCAATGCAGAGTCACTGAAATTGTGGGAGTGATAAAATCAGCAAGGAAAACAAGAAAATGATTGCTATAAACATAAGGTTAGAGTCTACTTCTGGGCTATGATAGTGGAAAGGAATAAGGGGCATTTGGGGGAGCTAGCAATGACCCAAGTTATTGGTTACATGACTGTCTATAATTATTTGACAACTTGTCCATTTATGTTTACTGCACTTTTATAATATTTTACAGCAAAAAATAATAATCCCAAACTCTATGAGTCACCCCCAAAGAAGCATCTCAATAACCAGGACTCCCAGTGTTTACCTGATCCCATCAATTTCCCAAACTTGAAAACGTCATAATAAAAACTTCAGATACAGCCCAAGCCCAGTAGTCCCACTCTAGTGCTAGTGCTCCCTGAGTAGAGGACAGCCTCACCTGGCAGGTCCCTTTCTCCCCCTAGAGCCAGCCCATCCTTAGTCCACTGAACGAGACCCCTGTATGCGCCCAGAACACAGGGCAACCGGGCTTCCTCCCCCAGCAGCACCACCAGGTCCTCAGGCTGTTGCAGGAAATGGGGCGACCGGCCTAGGAGAATGGGGACAGCAGATCTGAGCTTAGCACATTAAAGAACTCCCTCACTCAGGACCCAGGGATCCAGTTCCCAACCTGCTCACTCTTCGCAGCTTCCAGAATTCTCCTCCCTCAGACCCAGGAGTCCCAGCCCCAAAGCCGTTGTCGGCAAAAATCCTCCCCATTTTCGTCCGCTCCCGTCTTGGGTACCTGCACGCCCTCTAAAGCAGAAGAGGAGGACGAGGAGGGCGGGGACCAGCATCCTGAGTGTGTGTCCCCCAAGGTCCACAAGACTTGCTGTTGCACTGGCTTCGCTCCAATTTCCTTAGTTGCGGATCTCTCCTCAGCCTGGAGGGGAACCCCCCTTGCACCCTACTCTTCGCCCCAGACTGGAGGTCCCCTGCTTCTGGCCTGAAGTCCTCCAACTTTGCTCATCCGCAGCCTCTGAAGCTCTGAAACGCCTGCGGGATCCGCGCGCTGGGTCTCTCGGAGACCCCAAGAGGGCCTGATCCCGCTGGCTCCGCCCCCGCCCGCCCCCTGGGAGAACCGCCCTCTTCCCATTGAGAAACTCCCGCGGTCTGGGCTCCGAGGAAACGGGCGCGGGGCGGGGGCGGGGGCAGCCTAATTGGGGTCTGGGAGCCGGAACACCTGGGTGCAAGAAGGGGGTCCTTCCTGGAGTGGACACCTGCGTCCTGCCGGCTTTGGGGAGAGTCCTGGGAGCGGGTGGTGAGGAGGAGGAGGAGCAGGAGCAGGAGGAGAAAAGGGAAAGAGTGGAAGAAACTTGCTCAGCCCGGGTCCTGCAGGGACTGTGATGAGTGGAAACCGAGCTATAAACGGGAGCCCCTGGGGCCTCGCCAGTTTCCGCGCCCTGGGGAGGCGGGGCCCAGGACTCTCGTGGGTCTTCGGGTCGCGGAGAGGGCACCCGGGTGCGGGAGGGTCAGCTGGGACCCCTAAGAAAGGGGCTTCGGCTCCCCACATCACACAACTCCTCAAAAATATCGCTCTGCTGCCTTGTTATTGCTGCAAACCGTAGCACACTCTAAAACCCAGGAGTCCAGGCCTCCAGTCTCTCCTTTCCCAAGACCCCGCAGTCCTCGCCCAGCCCCTCTCCCTATTCCGCGGGGGCCGGGCCCCTGGGCCTTGGTTGCCAGGCGACGGCTGGGAGGCGGCAGTGCCCGGGATGGGACAGGCGGGGAGGCTGGGAACTGCGCAGCTTGTACTGACGGCTCCATGAAGCCCAGCTGGGGCGTTCCCACGCTGCGCAGCTGGCCGAGCAGGTGGGAGGAACCCTGAGCTTATTGCGGGGCCTAGGGTCTGGAGAGGTGGGACCCCGGGTCTGACATCTGTGGACCTGTAGGGATTGAGGTCCACATTGAGATTCTCAGTTGCTCCTGGGCTCTTAGACTCCAGCCTCCCTAAATGGCAGGGGCTTGGATTTCCAGGACTGTAGGGACTGGTGGTCGAGATCTCTGATGACCTGAACTCCCGGTGCTTTGAGGCAAGCAGCATGGTGCAATTGGGTGATGATCAAATATCTGGTCTTAAGTCTTAGAATCAGTGGATTTAACCACAATCTCTCTCCCATCCCCATACGGACCCAGGAGGATTTGAAAAGCTACAGACAGAAACATCTGTCCGAAGTCCCGTGGGGGGAGGGAGGCGGTAGGAGAGAGGGGCTGGGAGCCTGAACTGCTGGGTCCAAGAGAGGAGGGTCCTGGGGGCCCAGACTCCTAATTCTGGGGGCATGAATTCCTGGCTTCATGGTTGTGGATCCAGGGCATGGATGTTGAATTAGGATAGGCTCAGATCTAGGACTCCTGAGTCTTGGGGAGGAAGTCAGGTGATGAGACTGTTTTTCCAGACACCTGACATCGCTTCCCCTTCCTGGCTCTCTGGGGTCATAGGCATGGAAAAATGGAGAGCCTGAGGTCCCTGGAGCATGCAGAGAAGGAAAACAGCCAAGGTGGAAGGTAGAAGATTTGTGCTAATTAAAGGTCCCAGCAACTGACAGCTCTACACCCTGACCTCCAGGGACACCATCTGGTGAGGGCCTCAGACAGACCCTCCCAGGTCTGCATCCAGCCCAATTCCCGGGAGGTGTGGGGGGCAGTTGGGAAAGGGAGTGTGGGAGGAGGGCAAGGAGTCAATAATGGAAAGCAGGGGAGAAAAACCACAGGGTGCATCAAGGGTGGAGCTGCCCCAGCTCAGGCCAGATGCCTTGCCTTGTTCCTGGAGGAGGATCAGATAGGGGGTCACAGGGAGGGGGAAGAAACATGAACCGTTGTAATTCCTGCAAGAGATAAGCAGACAGAAGGAGCTTATCCCATGCGAGTGTGTGTGTACACACTGGGGTGGGGAGGGCGGGCCAGTTAGCATATGGTTATAAAATTCAGGGATGTGAGAATCAGGACTCAGAGCTGGAGAAACTAATAAGAGAAAGAGGCACAGGCAGGAAGATTCACTGAGAACAAATATTTATTGAGTTCCTGAGGTATGAGAAACTGAATGTGAGGTAGGAGCAGCGAGAGCTGAGAACAGAGACAGAAAAAAAAATTTAAAAAAAATAGACAGGCTTACAAAGACAGTGGAATAGTTAATAAAAGGTTGACTGAGATTTAACTATGAGAGAGAGAGAGAGAGAGAAAGAGAGAGACGTTTCAAAGAGATAAAGATAAATCATGATGGATAAAGAAAGGGACTAAGACACACATGGAAGGGAGGAAGAGATGGGGGAATGGTAGGAATGGAGACAGAAAGAAGTTCACGGCGTCTTTGCTAAAGGTCACCCACACTAAAGGCTGGCAGATTTGGACTCATCTTTTCCTTGCACTGTTCTGACTGCCCTGAACCCCGCACACTCACACAAAAGACACTCTGACCCAGTCACACACTCGGCACACACCTTCACAAATCACAATTCACTCTTGGCTTCCTTCCTCTCACACACATGCTCACACATACAGGCATGCTCTCACACCCTCATGCACACACAGGTAACTTCCCTCTCTCCTACACTCTCCCAGTTTCACATACACTTTTGTACACTCCCCAGCAGAGATCCCATATGCACTGAGGGGCTGATTGTCTACTCAGGAAAGGATGGGACTTGCCAAGGTCATGCTCTGGACAGGGAAGAGCTAGCCCAGCTCTCTACTCCCTAAGCTGAACTAGGAGATGACCCATGTCTGGTCTGCTCTCCCAGGCCCTTGGGGTTATGGGAGCTGGGGAGGCACCGAGGAATGTGCCTGGCATGTGCTGACAGGGGATTTCATGGTCCAGCTGGGCCAGGAGGAGCCTGCTGGGTGGAGGCTGGAGTCAGAGACTCAGGAGTGGCTTGGCTCTGCCACTGACTGCCTCTTTGCTCTCCTGGGCTGATGGGGCTCACTGGACTCTGAGCAGCAAGTCTTTTTTTTTTTTTTTTGTGGGACTGTGAGTGGTGGAAGAGGGTGAAGGGGCAGGGGGTAGCAGGAGAGAAGAGAAACAGACTGTCAAGGAGATGGATGGATAGATAGATAGATTGAGGTGGAAAGACAGGCCAAGGGTGGTGGTGGGGGGATTCAGAGAGTTGCTCAGAGAGAAAGAGCCTGAGACAGGGAGAGAAAGAGACAGAGACTCAGACAGAGAGACTGGGACAGAGGGAGAATGAGATGGAGATAAAGAGACACTCCCAGAGAGAGGAAAATGGAGAGAGTTGGAAAAAGAGACAAAAAGAGAACAAGAGACAAAGACACAGAGAGAGGGAGTCAGAGAAAGGTAGTGGCAGACATACGTGGCAGTCAATGGGCACTGTGGGAGCCATGACCAGAGGAACTGGAATGGCCCTGAGGACACCCATCAGGGCTCCCTTGATGCTCATGGGGCTGCTGACCACAGGTGAGTGGGACACTGGCTCTGTACCCAGTGCCAAATGGCCTTCATTTCCCACCTTTTAGACAAACCTCTGCCCTTTCTTGCTGATCCTTTTGTGTCTCCAGGCCTGGCTCAGTTGCCAATCCCTGCCTCAGCCCCTCGTGGTTTCTGGGCCCTGTCTGAAAACCTGACGGCTGTGGAGGGGGCCACAGTTGAGCTGCGGTGCGGGGTCACTGCCCCTGGCAGTGTGGTACAATGGGCCAAGGATGGGCTACTCCTAGGCCCCCACCCTGGGATCCCGGGCTTCCCGAGGTACCGCCTCAAAGGAGATCCTGCTAGAGGTGAGAGATCAGAGCCTGAGACTCTGAGCCACCAGCAGAGGCTGTGGTCTTGACCCTGTGGGCCTCTTCTGCAGGTGAATTCCACCTGAACATTGAAGCATGTGACCTGAGCGATGACGCCGAGTATGAGTGCCAGGTCAGCCGCTCAGAGATGGGCCCCGAGCTCGTGTCTCCCAGAGTCATCCTCTCCATCCTGGGTATGGGTGAGAGACCCCCAGGACCCTCAAGTCTGGGCTTCTAGTCCTCTTTTCCTCTAGGATGTGGGAGCTGATGGTCCCAGATCCTCCTCCCCCAGATCCTGGGTACAGAACTCATTTCCGGAGCAAGGAGACTTGGCCCACATCCTCCTGTGCTTCTCAGTGGTGGAGGCTGATTCTACATCCTTTCTCATCAGTTCCCCCCAAGGTGCTTCAGCTGACCCCTGAGGCAGGGAGCACAGTCACCTGGGTAGCTGGGCAGGAGTATACGGTCAGCTGTGTGTCTGGGGATGCAAAGCCAGCACCTGATATCACCTTTCTCCAAAGTGAGTGTGGGTGAATTGGTGGGGACAGTGTGATGCCCCTAGAGTAGGGAGTCTGTGTGTTATGCCTTCCTGGGGGCCCAGAAAATATAACCGAGATAGGACCCTGGAGTAGGCAAGGGGAGAAGCTGAGGCTTCTTTCTTTTGAGAATGGGATGCACTGGGTGGGAGGGGACACCCGGGGAGGCATCCAGGAGACCACAGGAATGCTGGTCGGGGGCCTGGAAGAAGCCAAGGTTCAGGCAAGATGTGGGCAGGGAGGGTGGCACAGGAATGAAAAGCTGAGGTGATACCAACAGAAGGAAGAGGCCCAGGACCTGAGAACTCCAGTCATTTGGGAAAATTCCAGGGAACAGAAGTGAGGGAGTCCTAAGTCTTACAGGACAACAGGAATTTCCAGGGGACAAAGCTGGCACCTCAGGTTCTTTTCCTCCAGAACCAGGAGGAAGGGGGCATCATGACCACCCCAGAATCTACTGTGGGGAGTGCCCAGCACCCCCTGCAGCCCTCTTGTTGCCCCAAGGTGGACAAACAATATCTGATGTTTCTGCT